TGATTTTATTTCACTTTCCCTCACAATCCGACGAAATTAATCGCGAGATCTGGAGTGGACTCGAAGATGCATTGTCTCAGGGTTTGGTCCGATCCATAGGGGTCTCCAACTTCAATGTCCAACAGTTGCAAAGTCTCATCCAAACAGTGAATGTATTTCCAGCGATGAATCAAATCAAAAGTCGCCCGCAATTGAGTCAAAGACAACTCATAGACTACTGCTTCCAACACAACATACGAGTGACGGCTTACTCACCATTAGGCAGCGGCAGTCTAATTGGAAATCCGACTCTTGTGGACATCGGAAAGAAATACGAGAAGAGTTCGGCACAAGTGATGATCAGATGGCAAATACAGAGAGGAGTTGTGGCCATTCCTAAGAGTACCAAAAGAGATAGACTTAGAGATAATATCAATGTATTTGATTTCAGTCTCACTGAGCAAGAGATGAAGACTATTGAAGAAATGTAATGATAATTAGTATTCATAATAATAAAAATACATTCAATATTTAAATCCTAAATTAGAAAAAAATATTACATTTACTCCAGAATGTTGGCTATAATCTAGAGTAACCTCACTTATGAGTTACATAACAGTGCTTAGAAAGTTTAATTCACAGAATCTATGAATTCATTACTAAAGTATTGTACTGTATAGATAAAGACCTGCTTATAATGATTTGTGATTTATAATCCTGATCATTAATCGCGTGATTATACAATCAATAATTCTTTATGTGATATTCGGTTTGATATTACAATTCAACTATAAATTCATTCAAAAAGCTGATTCAGTAATGCATTTACAATATCTATAAGTGTTTTGTTAGACAGTGGTCTAAAGTGATATCTCATATCATACTACCAAACATTTTTGTAATTATAGATAGGATTTGTTAATCAATTCAATGATTTCAATGAATACTATGAGAATTCTGAGACTACTTTTGGTGGCAATCATTGATTGTATAATTGAAGTAAATACCAAAAACACGGGAAAGACATCTTTCCAGTCCTCCGGTTCCCAATCAGTGATCGACTGTTCGGACCTTAGAAGTGGTCAAAAGACGACAACATTCACCGATACTATTGATAAGAGGTGGGATTATCCTATTGTCCCGACTTGCCCCTTATATCCCAGGTTGTCACACTAACATACTTGTGGAGGTATTATTGGCCCTATTCTGTTACAATCGCAATTTTAATAGATATCTAA